TGTGCTATTCTCATGTTATATATCGATACATGTATTATATTATAACTTTTATACGTACTTTATTTTCATTTGTATATTTGTTATGAAAGAAATAAATAAAGTGAACTTGAACTTGATTTTTTTAACACTCTTCGTGTGGCGAAATTATACAGTGCCTCTCTTAAATGGCGCATCAAAGGCAGTGACCGTGTGTCGCTGACATAGTCCTACTTCTGAGAATGACGCCTCGTAAATCGTAACTAGGGTATGATGGAAAGGGGGACTGGGTGAGAAATATAGAAAGAAAGACCTACATATAACTATATAATGAAGAAGAAGAGTTGATCAAGAGGAAGAGTAAGCCGAAAACAAGAGAGGAAGAGAAAGAGGAGAAGGAGGGGAGTCGGGTATTTTAAGAAAGAAAGTGGAAGAGAGGATCAGGATTTAAAAAGAAAGTAGCACAGTGAGAGAGAGAGAGAGAAACTCGCTTAAATTTTTTCTCTGGTTTCACGTTCGTCTATATTTATATATTTTAAGTTGATATGTAGTGATAAGCTGACTCCTAAGATAATCGAGGGAAAATCCACCCTGATATTAAGTTGTTATAATTGAAGCAGAGAAATGAGAGAAAAAGGCCAGTGAAAGTTTGAGAAATTTGATTAAAAATAAGGAGAAACAAAGAAAATGAAGAAGAGAGTTTAAGACAGTGACGCAAGAAAAGAATAAACTGGGAGAATATCAGCTGCTACTGGATGACAGAGAGTCAGGAAGAGATAAAGAAAGAAAGAGATATATATTGTGTGTTTGGGGTGGGAATTAGGTGGCGAAAATAGGAACGAAAGAGGTAGGTGAGCTAGATGTGGAGAGCAACCCACTTGAAAATGTTACATGTATGAGAAAAATTAAAATACACGATAATTTTCTTGTATTTAATGTTAAACAAAAAAGACACATAGCACTATGAAAATCCTTCTTATTTCCACTCCAAATAATGGATAAATAAGATTTCTTCTGTCCTCTGAAAAAGAAGTACATCGGAATCAGACCCCTTAATAATGCAGGAGGGGATCCAGAATTCCACGAGGAGTAGAAAAAAAAAAAGGAAAACAAATTATTGATAAATTATATGAAAAAACGGGGGAGGGGAAGAAAGAAAGAAAGGAAAGAAGAAAGAATTGCATAGAGAAATTACAAATACACATTTATGAAGGAACGATTATAAAGTGACCCCCCCCCCCCCCCCTCTTCTTCCCGCGAATCTACTTTCTATTTTCAAAACAAACCGACCGTGCGAATTCACGTTCCAGACAAAATATGACCCCAGCTGAAAGTTCAGCTATTTTTTTCGCTGAACCCCAAAGTTCTTCTCTATCGTGCGCTGTTAACGTTCGGAATCGGAATCATTGAAAATTCCGTATACTTGAATCACGGCGGTAATGGTTACCGATCGAAACGACGAGATGGGTGGAAAAACGGACATAAATTCGTAGATTTCAAGTTAATTTGGCAAATTTAATCTAGCATCATGGATTCCCTGGCAGAAGATGACCCAACGCTGCCAGTCAATTTTGGTGAAAGGTAAGTGCGGTATCCACAATTATATTTATAAAACACTGACAATAAAAACGGTTTGCTTTTTTTTGTGTGGCATTGCTATTGGCATTGGCATTGCAGCCTGACGCTTGAGGTCCGCAGCGCCGCGGTGCTGAGCTAGCTGAGCCTGGCTGAGATGCGGGGCAGCTAGCAAGCAGCTCTCTGGCTTGGCTTAGCAGCATTCGTCATGCTCATAGTTGATTAATAGATTTGCTTTATTTCCGAAGGTTAGTTTGTCCAAAATGCCAGATGACCTGCAACAGTGCAAGTTAAGTTAAGAACATGATGAAGAACTAAGTTGTAACTGTTAGTGTTACGCCGGCAGTGTTAGTGTGACAGTGAGTGAGTGTGAGATAACAACATGTGCTGATTCTGAACTTGAAGTCTGTTTAGCTTTGCAAAAATAATCGATTAGGCTATACAACAAGACGAGAAGCAACAGACAACACAACTTCATAATCATAATTAAGCTCATTTTGTTCCTGTGCATGTGTGTTACTTATTTTGTTGTGGGAGCGTAGTGAATATGGGTGTCAGAACTTCACACATATTCTTTCTAAAAGAAAGATAATTAAGAACAAGAGTAAAGTCTAAAGACGTAAGAAGTTTCTTCTCTTCTGGGAGTGGGAGGGGTAAATAAATGGTCAGTCCACCGTAGACATAGTGAGGTTTTCAGGTGGTCCCCATGACGCAAAGCAAAATCATTTAAAAATGCACTGATAGACCCTCCAAAGTCCAAACATAACAAAATGGACTTCCATGATTCCAGTAAGAAGTTAAAATAATTCTTTAAAAAAGAATCCTTGTCCTTTTTAAGTGCCAAAGAACCCTCACAGAAATTGGTATGATGAAACTATAAATAAAGTTTTTATCATCAATATACGGAAGTTCGGGGTAATCCTGTTGAAACTTTTGGTTGTTGCGTCCAGTACCGGTAATACATGTTCCTACGGTGCCAATCTTACTACCATACTAGAGTAAAGGAGCCGGTTTTCGGCCACTTAAGACAAAATCCTATTTTTTGGACCCTTTACTTCCTATTTATTATCATTTTTTGTTCAAATCATGAAGCAAATATTATTATTTAAACAAAACAAGAATCCCAGAAAAAAATCACGAATTGCCATGACAATATTCATTTCAATTTTCACTGTTTCGGAGTCAGTTTTCGGCATAGCGTACCAGTTTTCGGCCGCATGTACAAAGTCAATAGGAAGCGCGCGCACGCGCCGTGCGTTTCCGCGCTGATCTACATGTATAGCTCTAGCGGGCGGAGCAGATATCCCACGCCGGAGCTACCCGGAGCTTGCCTGGCCGAAAACTAGTACTGCGGTGATCGGATATTGGAATCTGAATTAGACAGAGATATCGTGTGTGCGTTGCGGTGTGCGGCCGCATTGATTTAATACATGCGATGAGATACTTTTGAGCTTGTGACTAGCACAAAATCGGGCTCTAAATCTGAAAAGTACTTGAAATAAAGCTCGTTTTTTTGGTACTTACATTACTTTATATTTCTTACAGACACGCGTAAGATACTCGATTTTTCAGATTCGGGTAGCGGGACCGCCGATTACATCGCTAAAATGTGATATTTTAGGATATATTTTTCATTGCAAATGTGGTTCTTTAGTGACACTGGCATGGTATGGTATGTGTGGGATATGTGTTATGCTATTATGCGATGTATTTTAGAGGGATTTTACCTTGCATCCAACCAATCGGCCGAAAACTGGAGCTGGCCGATTACCGGCTCCTTTACTCTAGTAGTAGTAGAACTACACATGTAGTGTTGTTATTTGTAGAAACTGAGAAATACTTTGTCAAATATCATATTAAGAAAAGAAGGGGGTTCGGCCACATAAGACAAACCCAATTTTTACTTTAGGACTCTTTAATTATTATTTTCATTTTTTATGAAAATCATGGAAGCATGTTTTAGTAGGCCTACTGTTTAATACAATATTAAAGGAAAATCCAACACTTGTAATAAGTTCATTTGGCATTTTGATCAGTGGATTGAATCTTACAGAAAAAACTGTAGTAGCAAATAGCTCTCCTGTTGTTGTATACCTACACAAATGTCATTAATTTTCTTTTTTTCTCCCAAGTGGTTATTCCTTTTGGGCAGTCGGGTCTACTCAAAATATGTTATATGAGAGTATAATTTTACAGGGCCTCTGAAAGACAAAGTCCATCCTAAGTCATACATATTGAAGCAAAAACAGAAGCCTTTTTGTGTGTTGGAACAATTTGTAAAGTTGTCCAGCACTACATGTACATGTACTGTACATCATAGTGACATTACCGATTTAGCCAATTTGAAGTGACCATACATGTATAGGGACTACAACTTTCACAAATTCATAGCTTTTTTTATTCATTGTCAGAGATTTCATTCAAACTTTCACAAGTCTGCTTCTCTGATCATTATGCATTATTTTAGAGTTGTGTGCTACATGTTTTATAATGGTTGGATTTCCCTTTCATTTCCCATGGCTACATGTACAGTATGTACATGTAGGTGGCAGTCTTTAGAATAGCAGCAGTGGTTTTTGGCCACATATTCATGTACTTAATCAAGGGAGAGTTGCCATTCAAATGCACTCATTTAAATGGCAGTGGCTTGAGCTACATGTAACATCACATGCAATGCAGCCAAAATACACCACCCAGTGGGTCAGAAATTGATATTACAATACATACACTACACTGTACACAGAGCTATCATACTCTGTATGTGTGTCTCACAATCTGATGTGCGATCAAACATTTTTAAAGCTTGATCTATAACAGAAAATGTCTTGAAAATCAACTCAATGTTTTTGGATCATGTTGCCTTATAAATAGATGCTTCAAAGGCCTATCTGCACTAGTTTAGCCAGGAGGGGTTAGACCTTTCTGCTTGGCTACTGACAAGTAGTTATCTCATCAAATCAGCTTTTAATTAACATTAGAAAAAGGGGACCATTAGGGATTGCTATACTGTATACTGTAGAGGGCGCAAGTACATGTACATGGCTGTAGCTACAAGTAGTGCAGTCCCGCTTTAAGATGTGCACATTTCCAAATTGTAAAAGCAGAACCGGCAATTACACATGACACATTCTTTTCATTTTTGTTATTATTTTTTTGCTGAAGGACACATTATGGAGGGGAAAAAAAAGATGTTTTTCTGTGATCTACTTTGAAATGTACAGGTCTGCTGTTGAAAATCAGTCTGTCATTTGTAAAGAAAGACTAAAGAGCAAAGAGAGCATACAAAGTTTCATTTTTGGAGAGTTTTTACATGTAGGCCTGTGTGTGTCTTCTTTGACAAAATTCTGAAATTAGTTTTGAGAATTGAGAAATTTGTTTTATTCTCTAACTTCAGTGTAAGTTGGATGAGTCATGTGACTTAAGATATATACATGTATGTGTGGGAGGATGACACTTTTCATTGGTCTAATGTCCAGTAGAATACAATGGCTAAGAATAACTTCAAGCTACACGTGGAACTTGTGCATCCATGCCTAACAACATTCTTCAAGATGATTGTGTAAGCTGTAATACATGTTTACATTTCAAATCCATCTTGTAAATTATGGCGATGTGTGCCAACAGCGTAGAGATTTTCTAATATTTCATTGATAGTGTCAAGGATGGAGACAAAATAAACTTTGTTTTACCATCATTTTTGTTTCTTTAGTGAACCTCACCAGTTTCTTGATCGGATAAAAAGCAAGAAGTATTCAACGATGATATTTTGATTTTTAAGCTGCATGTACTTTGGAAAGATCTTTGGAAAGAAGAGCTGCGGACTTGGTTTGTTTGGAATGTCTGCTTTCAAAATTATACAGTGTTATTGATGTTTGATAGTTAATATACACTGTATACCTGCAATGATGGAGCAACAACATAAAGACAAAACATACGGCTATGTTATGTCTCCTAAAAGTCACAGAGTAACAAGGCCAGAACATGGGTAAGTAATAGTAGTAAGTAATCAACATATTTTTTGTTGGTCGATGAAATATGGCATCAGTATTTGCAGATATGTATTGTACATGTTGATGTACATGTACATGTAGGTATGCCTTCTGTGTGTACATTTGCATATGTACTGTGTACATGCACATTTATTGATTTTCAGTGGTATAGTGTCCTCGAAAGAGAAGGTAGAGTCTGGGTGAAAAACTGAGAAATAATTAATTTGCTTTCTTTTAATATTGTACATGTATATAACTTTGAGTTGTAATGAAATTTCCCCTCAAAATGGACAGCTCATAAAATGCTCTCATATTCATAATATACCAAAAATCTAAGAAATACACAATGTACATGTACATGAAGCTGAAAGTTTGGACCAAACATTTGCGTGTGGTCCCATATACCCCTTTTTTGTGCAGTGCATGTGGTCTTCCGCAGGGTGGAATACATTTCTTGTAATTTTTCATCATTTCAAAACTTCACATTACATCAGTGTTTTACCTTATACATGTAAATCAAGTTAATCAACCTTTTCCAAATGCTTCAGAGTCGGACGTTTTTTTTTTTACTCACTTTGTTATCGCATTACCAGTATTAAACTTTATTTATTTATTCTTTCAAGTCTTCTTTAAACAGGGTACCGGTACTGGTAGCCCTTTCAATAACAAATATTGCTCATCAAAGGGGCCCTGCCTGTACAAGTAAAAACACATAAAAACATTACTGTAGAACATTATATATATATATATCATAAAGAAAGAACACTAAATATACATGTACAAGGTCAAGGTTAAGATTTAAAAAAAGAAAAGAAATAAAGAACTAAACAAAATGGCATTAAAATTTGATACGATAGAATGGATATAAATTTGCTTTATCTCTCAGTTAAAAATTAATATTCCACTTGCGTTATAAACAAAACACTGCCACCAACTGTCAATTACACAGAGCTCTGGCAAAGTCAGAGAGAGAGTGAGAGAGAGAGAGTGTCAGGCAGAGAGGCAGCGTAACCAAAATGAGCCTCTTCCTGTCAACAGGAAAGAGCCGACATTGGCCCAAAGTTCCCAGCCCCAGTCCTACGTGTAGCCTCTCATGTAATTACCACCCAAACTCGGTGGCAGACGAGGGGGAACATGTTCCCCTGTAGCTTCCCAGGCCAGGGCTGTGCCTAGGCCGCTGTACATAGCGTTGTCTCTGGGTGAATCAACTCAATCGCTTCCTGTTGGGAATTTGAGAGAGTGAGCGTTCATTTCCTGGACTCTTAAAGCCAGCGAATCCACACGAACGCATTGTGCGTGTTAGACTGTAAGTACCGTAGTACAGATCTTTAGGATGTTGTGATGGTACTTACACTACTACTTCAGTGTGTCAGTGTACTCGCGTAGTGGATCAATGTTTAAGTCTGTAACTTTCAGTGGCGCTATTTTTGGACATGTTAGCGTTAACAGGGCCCCATTTGGATTAGTTGGAGTCTGTTTTTAGGAGCAGTAGTCGTTACGTCTGGAATAATATTTGACTAACTACACCTGTACCTGGGAAGTTTTATACTCTTTGTGACTAATTGGAGTATTCCTTATTCTGTTTTGTGGAGTTGCTGTTCAGCATGGAAACCCTTGACCAGTTTGAAATCTAAAGGTATGGTTTGAATCGCACTCTGTAGTAGACTATGATACAATAAACTTGATTTGGATTAGTTGGAGTCTGTTTTTAAGAACATTAGTATTACATCTGTAATAATATATTTTGTATGTGACTTATTACACCTTTACTTGGGAAGTTTTATATCTTTGGTGCCTATTTGGACTTTTGGAGTAATCCCATTTAAAGGTTTGTGTGGAATTGCGATTCATAAGGAAACCTCTGATCAGTTAGAATAGAAATATAAAGGTATATTTTATGGTTTATAAAGTTATTTTGTATTCTGTACTAGACTATGGTATAATAAACTTGATCAAAAGGTAGTTACATGTAGATAGAGATAATTGTGAATCTTTGCCTTCATTACAATTTTTGTGTCAATGTCTTACGATTATTCAATAAACAACACTTTCAATGGTTCTTTAATGTTGTTGCTTTATTCATTATTACAACAGCACATATGTTGGCAACTTTTAGTAAGGAACAAATCAAGAGTTATCATTCATGGATTGTCAGAGGGACTAGTGTTCAAGATTAATTACATGTACATTGTTCATCTACAATGTAGACCCTTACTTTTTAAAAGCGAGAACATGACAGCCTTTGTTCTTCACATGTGATGAATAAAAAAATTATTATCTGAGTGTAATGCCATCACAACTGAAGGAAATTAGCATTTGTTAATAATTGTGCCAGGTGTTAATATTAGGCACTTTGATTTGGACTAAAATTGGCTTCATAAAATGCTCATGAGCAATATATTCATAATAACATAACCATAAAAAAACATTTTAAGTACTGGTACCAGGTATGTGAAAAATTGATTTGCCTCGATTTATCTTTCTTGAGAATGTGGCATATTAAAGCTTACATCTAAAAGTATTCAACAAAGGCCCTAATTCAACCAGTCCACCTTTCATTCTTGAGTTACAATTCTTATGAAGAACACAAAAAGCATCAAGTTTACAAGGGGTATGAATAATTCAGTTGTTTGTAACTGTACACAGAGCTGCCAACCATTCCGTTTTTGCCGGTATTACTCCGTTTTTTCCTCCATAAAATACTTTTTTTACAATTTTTTTTTTTTTTTACATACCACACGTCAAACAACTGCCCTAAAATGGTGATTTGATCACAAATTCAATAGAAAACTAATTTTAAAACATACTTGAAGAAAAAAATAATTCTCAAAAAGAATGAAATGCCGATAATACCAAAATAACCACCAAAAAAATTACCTGCTTGAATGGAAAAAGCAACATGATGAATGAACATATCTGCATTGGAAGTGTGTCGCGCATGGTTGTAAGTTTCGTTTTTATGAATTCCTTTTTTTTCTTGAAATTCCTTTTTTTTGCCATCATGATTCCTTTTTTGGTCGCACAATGTTGGCAGCTCTGTGTACATGTTTAGGCCAATTGGTAAAAGTTTTTACAGCAAATCTCTCCCATTTCCTTGTTACAGCTCTCATTCCTATGTAAATGTACATGTACTTTACATCTCTAGCTTTAAAATGATAGTAAATACGATTCATAAATATTCAACCTGTGGATATTTACTGTGATTCCATCACAAATTGTATGTGTACCTTCAAACTCACATTAGATACAGCAGGGAATTGATAACAATTCCATGATACTACAGGCTGTCATCCCTTGTGTACATGTAAAACCATGGTAACATCGAATTCAGTGATGTTTACACAGGCCTGTTTTGGGGATGTTTGTCTTTTGTTTACCTGTGTATACATGCACCTATAAACTCACCTTGGTTGATTTATTAAAGACTACACAAACACTGTATGGCCTACCTAGAATAGGACAAGACTGTCTTCACTGTTGTGCATACAGAGTATCAATCAAGTACCAGTAGCTTCTTAGTGAGGATTACTGTACACAATAGTGTTTTACATGAGGATTTAGCACCCTTTGTTCAATGACGAACAAGGAACACTTTTTTGGCCGTTTAGATTCCAGAGATTTGCTTTCAAAGTTGGCAAAGAACTTAAAGTGATAAGGTGAAATAATGACAGGTTTTCTTTTGTAAGGGATGGGAAAATATTCAATTGTTTAGAAAGTTATTATCATTGTCTTCATTGAATTATTTTTTTGGGTACTAAATAATCTAAGTCCTGACCTCCAAAATTATGAAAAATAGGGCTCATGCATGCGTTGAAGTTTACATACAGACTCCAATAGGTTTCGGCTGGACCCCCTTCCCATAACTAGTGTAGACCCCTTCTGCCAAGCTGGACTCCACGTCATTTTTGTTCCATGTTAATTTGGCCCCCTGTTAGTTAGCCCTGGAGGAACAGTTGGCCATAAAAACCTTTCATGGGTCTATTCATTGATAGTGCTAATTTTCTTACAAACAGTCAGATATCAAATGTCACCAACTTAATTATCCCATTTTAAACTTCAAAAAGAAGGGAATTAAGATTTAGTCACAGTTCCAACCACCATTGGTAATGAAAGAATGAAGTTAATCATTGCCAAACACCAAGGTGGAATTCCCCATGTCTAGTGAAAGTTGATTGATGACCATCAGCCTTTTCACACACAGCTAAAATTCTGTCAACATGATTAGTATAAACGTGTTTGAAACGTGTTTAAACTAATCACGAGCCTTTCACACACAGAAATTTCGTTGCGATCGTTAATCGTTTCGTGATTAACTACTGCTTGTAAAATGCGCAGTAGTGCCATTGCGCATTGAAGGTCAGGTCATATCAAACAGAGCGGTCGCTCCATCCAGTTTAAACACGTTTAAACACGAAAAACCTTTCACACACAAAATGTCAAGCTCTTTAGATACAAACTTCGTATCGGCAGCCTGCTTTTAGGGGCGTATGCATCGCGACTTCGTATCTATCCCAACATCGTATAAACGATGTTCACACTGGGAAATATTTTCTATAAACATGTTTAAAACTGTTGAGTGATTCTAATCATCTCTGGAAACGATGAATTTTAGCTGTGTGTGAAAAGGCTGTTAATTTAGATTTGAATTTGAATTTGAAAACTGAGAGGATATGTTTGTTTTCAATGAAGGAAGTAAAAAAGGAAAAAGACTGTTTTGATAGATATGAACCTCTGAACTTTCTGTCTCAACTCTTAATATGTTTTAAAATAAATACAATGTATGTGTGAACATAAAAATCTGAATATGTTAAAAAGTTCAACCAGAAAATTTTGCATTTATAGAAATATTTTGAACTTTGTGATTATAAGTGGTTCATATTTGTGAAAGGATAATGTTTGCAAAGTAACTAAATCACCAGACTCACAAGTCACAACACTGTATGTTGTTGCTATTTGTGAAAGTTTCTAGCACTGAAAATTAGAAATAGCTGTGTTT